GTTGTTAATATGGTAATAAAAAACAGCAATAATAAGACAAATAAGCCAAAGCTAGTTTATATTAGAAAGTTCTATTATACACTATCGATGAAATTCTCGTATCTTAAATTTCATTTTGTTAAAAAAAATTATGTTATGATATAATCCTAATTTCGGTTAATTATCCCAAATAATTGTCACTTGTCTATTTAAATAAACTTTCCTGAACTAGAATAATTCTGACAGAGTATTTGAGTAATTATTTTCCGACTTACACTACTATATATCAATATACATCAGCAAATAGATTGAAAATTCTGGATAGATTCTAAAAACTTTCAGATATTAAATTCAATCTTAGACTGTCTGAAAAGGAATTAATTTTACAATTATTATAATATCCAATAGAAAATTTAAAACTTACTGCATATTTTTTTTGTCGTTTTGTTTATTATAATTATGATAGTGAATAATTATCATATTTTAAAATTATTACAATACAATTTCAGGAAGCGTTTTATGATGATACTACGAATCATTCAGCTTTCCTAGGGAATGCTAACGCTAATCAAATTGCTTGTACTAAATCTGATTTGGAAACAGCGGTATTATCTAAATTTGAAACCGCAATCTCCGAAGAATCCAATATGGAAGCAACACAGTCATCTAAACCTGATTCCAATGTACCAAAAATGGAAGATTCGCTGCAAATAATAACTGCGCTTCCGAATTCTGATATGGATATGGAGCAGAATCATACGGATATTGAACTCGTAGATGTTCCAAAATCACGTCATACATCACATTTGTTCACATCAAAGAACTCTTCAAAACAAAACGATGATGCTAACATTTATCAAGTTGATAATTCGTTATCAACGAGTTTAATATCTGTTAATACGGCATCAATTTTGGAACGTACTCGCCCTGTTGAGAAAAATACTGATATCACTGAGCGATCCACATACGTGTTTCATCGCGGTGAAATGCGTAAAATTGATAGCAATAATATGATCAATGAAGGTATCACAAAGCGATCAACATATTTAAATCGTGATCTGAAATCCGAGAGAAATATCAGTGACGATGATTTACGTATAATGTCAATGGATTTGAGATCATCATCCTCATGTCAATCTAAGGTGATACGTGTAACGAACGATGACGTCGTAAAGATAAAGGATGTAGAAGAGAAACACGGTAAAGTGACTGGTACAAGATTTCCAGGACGAAAAACATTGGAAGAGTTGGAAGAAAGGGAATTAACCAGGTTAGTGTTTAATTCATTAATACATTGTAAAGTTCATAGTAAAGTTAAATTACTATTACAGGTTGAAAGTAACTTTATTTAACAATTTATGAACATTTATTATAGAGAACCAACAGAAACAGCTGATGAATTATCATCGAATTTCTTTAACTTAGAAACGGAAAACATTAGAGCTACGTAAGTTCAGTTATTTTGTTAGAGCTACGTGAGCTATGTTAGTGATAATATAAGTAAAATACATAAGTTCAATCTTTCAATCTATGAAATCCAACGAGAAAATTCAAACTGTAAAAGATATTTTTAATAAAATATTTTATTTTCCAATAAGTATTATGAAATATGTATGTAAAAGATGAATGAAATGATAATTAGTATCGTTATGCTTTGAGATTATTCGTTTTAGAATAAATCATTCAACGGATACTAAACAGAGAATTGAAAAGGAAGATGGCGATCATGAATTATACGATCTGTCATCAAATGATCGAACTGATTCCAATGAAAAGCAATGCAAGAAAATTCCATCCTGGGCTAAAGGTCATCATCTATTTATAAAATATACAGAACTAATAAATCGAAGAATTCATCTGATAATTATGCCAGTGTAGAATAAATATCATTCATTAAATAATCGAAAATTTAAGATGTGAAAAATACCGAAACAAAAAAATACTGTACTATAGAAAATGATTAAAAAGTAATTAATCATGATTATCTTATTTTAGCTTTAAGCTTAATTGATCTATGGTATGGTATTCTGATTCTTCTTCTCATCATCATGCAAATTGTAGAGGAAAATGTACGACATTTTCTTGAAAAACAACAAATATGGTCGCTAAGTAATATCGATGCTTTATTTGGTAAAATTCATCCACCTGATATGCAAAAAATGTTTGGTGATGCGATCAAATTACGATCAGCAACACGTACTTCATCATCTATGTGGGAATCACCCATTTGGAATCCACGTGTGGGTTACAGCGCTTATCATCGTACAATTCAACAAACCGAAGAACAACAATGCAATATTCGTCGATCTCAACGTGTGAAGAAACCTGTTTCATATCTTTCGTATTTCTGATTACTCTTCCTAATACAGTACAGTGATGCAGTAAATGAAATAATCTATACGATAAGAAGACATAAATAATTTAATATTTGCAAATGAATTGCATTTCATGTAAAGATTACTTCATTTTTTTTTAAATTGAAAATAAAACAAAGGGATAATTTGAATCTAAATTAGCCTAATTTTCATTAATAAAATATTAAATGCTAATAAGATATTAATTAAATTCTAATAAATTCATTCAACATTAGATCCCATAAATATATACATAATATGTTCTTTTTTTAAATAAGACACAAAAAAGAAATAATTGTATGCAACTGATAATTAGCACAATTTGAATATCGATCTATATGAATCCCAATAATTATTCCCTTATTAACCTTATTGATTATTATTTTGGTTGAGGCAAGAAGTAGAGGATCGGAATAGATCTTCATTAATTTTTATAGTAAATAATATTTCTTTTTTTGCTTCACTAGCATATTGCTAACATCATCAATGATTTGTTATCGTTATCATCAATTTACTAATTATCATCATCTAAAAAGTAGCAAATTGGGAAATAAAATTAGTTAAAAGTATTTTTCAATGAAATGGGAAAATTGACAATGATATCATTCCCTTTTTGGTGTTTTCATGTCATTTAAAAATTATTTAAAAAATATTTTATGCAAAATTATGATATTGTTTTTTTTAAGAATAATCTTGCACTAATTTTAAACTTTGAGTGAGAGAATTTATTTCAAACTACTAATTATACAAAAATTACATTTCGATTAATAAATTATCAAATTCAAAGTGATTTATTTGCAGTAATACGAATATCTTATAGCAGTTTAGGTAGTTTTCTTATGCGTACAGCTAACTTACTGCATTATGCCCATGAAAATATTGCTCCTGTAATTATTAACTTATTATTATTCTACTTATTTCTGTATTTTGATCATTTAGTTCCAATAGAGGCGAAAACCTTTTTTTATACATCAAACTCAAACATTAAAGAAATTTTACTCTTTATAATGTCTTTTATTGTTTTTGAGTTAAGCAGTATTAGCAATCTTAGGTAGCTCAATAACGTTTGTATTTGTACATATTACAGCAATTTTTTATTGAATCTAATTTTAAATTTAAGAGTTTATTCACCTACAAAACATTTATTCAATATAAGTTATGAAATATGACGAAATAATTTTTCTTCATCGTACTGTAATGCTTCCTAACTTTCATGCTCTCACCCACAAAACTGAAGCACTTTAAAAATGAAGCTCTTTAAAAATAGCTTCCATTTCTTCATATGTTATAAGTGTTTAATTGGTTTCTATAATTGACATTATGACATTATCAACGTAAAGATTTCAAGGACAAATTTGCTTTTGTAATTTTCCAAGTGATAGTTAGGATTAACCGATCATAAAAAAGGAGATGATATTGCTCCAAGTGGAACTTGCTGAAATTAATAACATTCGATGTTATCTTTTGTTACTTGCCTTCGGATGTCCTTTAACCACAGGAATCGAGTTTCAATATCTGCTATTATCATATTTCAATATTCGCTATTATCACTTATCATTCAAAATCGGAATAATATTCCTGTTAAATCAGGAAAACTTATTGGTCCACGATGTAAGACGTCATTCAAACGTTTTATCCCCTTTGAGTGGGATGCAGCATCATAATGATTCCAAATTTGGTTGTTGCTGTTACAATTTCATGATGAGGTAAATAATGAATGATATCAATCTGATCCATTTCTGGAAGTATTTTTTCAATTATATTGGACTGTAGTTGTCGTGGATTGTTTCATCATATTTGAGAAGTAACTGTTCTGGTACAGCAGTCTCTCAATTAATGATTTTAAACAACCGAAATATAATCCTAAATTGTCCGTTATTTTGAATTTTGATTCTTTCCATGACTTCCATTAATTTTGGAGATATTTTCTGTAAAGTTCGCTAATATTTATTCATCATCATGAAGGT